AGACATTCAAGTATAATGTTCAGATAACACATCTTTCAAATTTTACATCATTTAGATGTTATAGCTTCTGGACTAAGCATTTTACTTTTTTATTTATTTTTGAGACAGGGTCCCTCTCTGCTACTCAGGCTGGTGGAGTCCAGGGGCATGATCATGGCTCACTGCAGCCTCGACCTTCCAGGCTCAAGGGATCCTCCTGCTGCAGCCTCCTGAGCAGCTGGGACACATCATGCACCACCAAGCCTTGTATTCTATTTCTCATCTACCACAATCCAGCAAACTTCATATATTATTTTCATCATTATTGAGGGCATCTAGGAATAACTTTGGTCTTTTGCTTTCTGTTTTAAATTTTTGTTTGTCCATACCTCAAATAATAATCTAATCAAGTTGATCCAGTACACAGTTAATGAAACAATTACAAAGTCCAGAAAATATCAAATAAAGACTGAAGCATGAATGTGTTAGTCTGAAAATATGTAGAATATTCAGCTAATTTTTGAAAAATGCCAATTATACTTTTGTATCATCCAAAATATCACCTCCTTTAAATATATTCTCATAATTTATAAAGTGAAAATTCAAACATTTAAGGTAAAGTTTAGTGTGATAAATACATCTATACATGTATTAAATTTGTACCTAGGTTACCATACCACATCAAGATCAAACCACATTTGTTATTTTATATGGATAAAAATAAAATAGATAAGAACTTAATTATTTATCTTTCCATTTAAGATATAAACAGAATAAATATGAACTTAAGTATTTATATTCCGATTTGGGACATAAGTAGGATAGATATAAACCTAAGCAATTATGAAAGATTGCTTTGTATCTACAATACCATGTGTGGATTAAATTGTATCATATTACCCACAATTAGTAACAGATGAGGTGATTTTATATATTATAGAAGGGAGAAAATAATAGTGAGTTTTGTGGCCCATATGATTCCTTTTAGGGTTTGGCCACACTAGTGACTAAACATGTAGAAGCTTATAGAATTAATTAAGGTTGTAAATATAATATTAAATGTCAATTTGAATAGGAATGTTTGGTTAAGAAAGAGGTGATAAATAAAAGTCAGCAGGACATCATCATCAAGAGTGACTGTTAAGAACGACAGTCACATGAAAGTGAACTTAATGGAAGACATGATGTGCCCTTGACCAGCTACACACTTCTCTGATGCAGTAGTGATCTTCCCAATGGCCTCGAGATATAGATGATTATATGCCTGAAGGGATGTACTGATGGAAGTATAACCTCTCCACTGGCAAGAAAAAAGCAAGGCAGTGTTAACAGGACACCTAGAGTATGCCAATATAATTTCCTCAGCACTTTATAGATTGTGTGGCCTATTTTTAGTCTGGGGACCTGCCCCTTTCCCCTCTACTTATCATCTACCCTATGTATAATGGGAAATGTGAGAGGCAGCAGTAAAACAAGTTTTTCCATTTGACCAGAAAAATATTTTTAAATGCATTTCTTGTCTTGGGCACAACCAACATAAAAGTTTGCAAGTAAGACCTGCAGTAATTTTTTAGGCCATGCATAACTTTTGGTGAACATCAAAGTAATTAACAAGAATTTTTAATGTGGGAATTAATCTATATGTGACAAAGTGACATCCAACCATTAACTAGTATATAATGACAGTCTTCATGTTAACTAAATATCCCTTTTACACAAAATTTGTAGGAAGCTAATGTGCTGTTCTGAACAGACACTATTCTAATATCAAATATTGAAAAAGATTTCAGTAGAAATACAAACCACATATACATACACACACACACACACACAAAAGAACCCTTAAAGTCTCATCTCAAAACTCTTGGTTACAACATTGTGTACAATTCCCATCCCCACAATTGTTACTGGTTATTTGCCTTGTTGAAAGTACTTAAAAACAAAAATTTGCTTAAGAAGAAAATTCATCATAAATTATTATTGTCTTTTTAATGGTTTGTCATTATATAAAATTGGTATTTGGCAAAATGATTACAGAAAAAGTTTACCCCCTTCCTTATATTTAAGTCGTTTTATACCCAAGTTTCTATCCAGGATCCCAGAGTGTTCTTTTCATTTTCACCCCAACATACAGTGTATTTCTTGTCATGCAAGCAAAACCTTATATGTTCCTGTCCCATCCCTTTCCTTCTCTCTGCAGGATGATAGATGAATAAAAATTATTTGAATCAAATAAGTGTAAAGAATTTAACTGGATATTGTGCTACCAATTATTGGTAACATACCATTAATTAAATTAGTGCTTCTCAAATTGTAGTTATCATCAGCATCATTAGAGGGGTACTTGAAACACAAATTGCTGGGCCCCACCCCCAGAGTTTCTCATTCAATAGGTTTCACACGAGGCCCAAGGATTTGCATGTCTAAGTTCCTCAATGATGCTTATGGTGCTGGTCCTATAAGAACAGAGTTAAAAATTTAATACACTATGGTAGATTAGGCAGTGAGGTGTCCAACTAAACAGCAGATTTGCTATTTCCCCTCATTTTACATCAGGTATAAAAAAATTAAGGCCAGCCCAGTAGCTCTGCACTTAATAGAATATAAAAATGCTGTTTTTAAAATTCTTGCTTTGCATAACACAAAAACAAGCAACATAAAACAAATATCTTTCTAAAACAGAAAAACAATCTTAACTGCTTATGGCAGTTGCTGTTGCTTTAATCAGGTTACCTAGAACATTTAGCTCTTTAAGATTTTACCATTGAACAAATTTTATCCCATATCCTTATTCATGTGAACAGCTAGGTGTCTTCCGTCATTTCTCACATATTCTTGCACACAAGCATAATCATACTTCCATGTAACCTGCTTCTCACAATTGGAGTAAAACTATCGACCAGAATATCTAAAGTTCAATCACTCTAGATTGTTTCCCTCACAGAATAATTTTGGCATATAATAGTCAACAACTTAATAAATAAAATATCTGAAAAATGTTCACACTAGCCTAAATTTCTACCATTTTGTTGCACTTTCCTCAATTCATAGTCAAAAAAGAAATTAATAACTTTTGAATGATTATGTATTTTTCTAAACAATCAACTCATTCTCTTAATCATTTATTATATTAATTATCCATTTATACTACTACACAAGAAAACACCACAGCTTCCAGGCAAAGTGAATAATTATATTCTTAAAATAATAGTGTTATATTTTGGTATGTACAAGTTAAACAAATGTCACAACTTTAAGTAATACACAGTAAGCACTTACTCAGTATGAGGCATGTTTAAATGTGGCATAATTTTGACTGATTAAATAAATCTGTTTTAATAATTTAGTAGTACTTGTATTAAATGTGAAAATAAATAAGGGAACTCTTTAAAGACTAATTTTCTATGTGGAAAGATTGCTCAAATGGCACATCTTATGGAATAATAACAGGATTCAATTATTATAAAAAGTTTGAAAAGAAATTTATTCATTTTCTTCTTTAATATAATTAGAGAGAAATCATGAAGAAAAGACAACGCTTCCTATGCAGGTTTTAACTGGATCATATTATAGTATTTTTAGATTCCTAATTTCAGTCATTCAATTGTTCTCTCTGTGTTTCATTTCCAAAATTCTTCCTCCTATCATTATTTCTATTTAAGTAGCAATTTAGTAAAAAAAAAAACCTCATTCTTTGGTAAGAAAACTATCTTTGAAAGAAATAAAAGTGAAAATGTTGATGAAGGAATCTATAAATTCTGAACAATTTGCATTCACCATTATTTCATCAACTCTATAGTAATCATATCCAAAATAAATAACATAATCAGTATTCCTTTCTTCACCAAAAATATACCAATTTTATCTCACATGTCTTGCTAACTAGGAAGCTACATATAACTTAAAACTATAAACTTTATATCTACTTCAAATATAAAAATACAAACGATTTCAATATCCTGACAATATTTATCTTTGTTTTTGTTATATTTTAAGGCAATATCTCTAAACTGCTTAATTTTTCAATGTCAAGAATTATTACTACTTACTGGACTCAAAGTACATGTAAAACCACTACATGTTTGGATGCAAAATATAAAGTTTACACTAATTTAGAGTAAATTAAAAGTGTAAACTCCTTTATCCCACAGTTAGTTACTAATTAATTACTAATTGGCCTTTCTTTTTTTTTTTGAGATAGAGGTTCACTCTTGTTGCCCAGGCTGGAGAGCAATGGCACGATCTCGGTAATTAGCTCACTTTGATTACAGGTATAGGAGAATAAAGTTTTTGATGAGTAACATTATACCAAAAAGCCTCCTACAAGAACTTTTTTTTTACTCTGAGCTATGTGAACTGTAAAGTAACAGTAGGATGGCAAGAACCAGCTTACAAAATCAATTCTTATCACGTGTTTTTCATAGAAAGATGATAATTTTAGGTTGCTAACATCATATATTTCCAATCTTAATGAGAAAAAATTACTCTGATGATATTGAAGTATTCTGAGAAAGAATTGCTGATGGCATTTAGTGAGCCACTGAATAAGAGAAACCAAAACTGTATAAATTAGATGTATTTTCCAAAAATAAGATGATTGTGCAGAAAACTCAAGATTCAGGAAAACAGATATAACAGCCTGGGTATTACTAAGCTCTAATGATAGTTATTGCATTATTGCAAAGATTTGATGATATGGCCCACTGTTCACCTGAAACCACCAAACATAGCATGTTTCATATCTCAGTTTTCAGTCACAGAGCATTTCCAGAGCGTATTTCTGTTCAGCTGTGTTACAGTTTTATGGTATCCTTCACACTGCACTTACAAAATCTATAAATAAAAGCAAGGGCATCACAGGGCATCGTTTCTCATAAAATGAACAAATCACCAATATTTGAATGCCTTAGAGTGTTCCTCAATATTAACAAATATGGCAGTAACCCTAAATACACATTTTTGTGTGCACTGCCTTATACTGATTTTGAAAGCATATTTGCCATTTTTTATATATTCCTTACCTGTCAAGTTCTTTAATCCTAGTTCCTGAAGTCCAAAGTTTCCATCTTTTCTGTAGTTTAAAAATATTGCCAAGGCATATCGGTCCTCATAAAGTTTTGTCCCACGAATAATGCGTAAATTCTCCAGAGGCAGGTAACGAAACTGATTAAGAGCCACTAACACATAGCCTGTGACTTCTCGAACAGACTGAAAAGACACAAACAATTGCCTGTGTTATAAAACTAATTTGTCACTATGTATATGTAGCAATTTAGATTAAAATGAGTTATTAGACTCTAATTTTAAGTTTTTACCTTAATATATTATTTTCCATATCATATTCTAAATACTTGGCTTCATAATAAAAGATCATAAAGTGTTAGCATCTCATTTGAAGTCTAAGTTGTATTTCTTTTAAACATTTATGAATGTGCTTATAGTAAAATAACGCATGTTGTTTATGAGACCTTCTTCATACCTGAGATTTGAATATAGTTAAATGAATAAAGGTCTTGCTTATCAACAGACTACAATAGGTTAAAGACACATGACCATCAATCACATTTTACATAAAAGAGCAAATTGGTAAGCATAAGTAAAACAAAGCCATGTTAGCTTGTACATTATTTAGGATAGATTTAAAATGGCTCTATTCATGTTTAGTGCTATATTTATCAAAGAACAATTGCCCTGAACATCTCTAGGGAACCCAAACATAAATAATATGTATTAAAAACTAATTGTTGTCTATAAACTTATTGCAACCACGTTTTTATTTTTTACTGCCCACCATTTAAATTCAGTTGTCTATAATGAGTTAGTTATTTGAAGGTCTGTGAGACATTTTAAAGCAAAATAGTGTTATGAAAAAAAGTCTGCGTTTCACCTAAATGTTATATAGTTTTTCAATAAAATGATGATAAACAGGTGTCAGAATTTAAAAAAAACTAAAAATGATTCAAAAGTACTCAAGTATTTGCTATTATTTTAATACCAATTTCATGTTACTCTAACCCTTTTCATTTCAGTTGCTCCAAGGCTCAGTTTTTGGTACTTCCCACCCGCTTCCCCCGTCGTGTATTCTCACCCCCTTGGTGATCTTACTTGGTTTCAAAGTTGGTGATCTCCAAACATTCATCTCTGTACTTTCCCCAGATTCCAGATTCATGTCCCACTGTTAACTCAACATCATAATTTGGATGTCTAGTATACTTTTCAGATACACCTATCAACAGCTGAACTCTTTTCTTCCCCCACCCCTCCAGCAGCCTTCCTCATCTCAGTTGAGGTTATTCCATCTTTTCTGGCTTTCTGGCCAAAGATCCAGTCATCTTTCACTCTCCTCTGACACCCCAAGTGTGGTCCATACTATTTGTTCTACTTTCAGAATGATCAGAAATTCAGCTACTTCTTATGTCATCCATGGCTCCCATCTGAGCCACCATCATTCCTCATCTAGATTATTCCTCATCATCAGTAGGTCTCCCTGTGTCTATTCCTGATTCTTTATGGTGTATTCTCAATTCAGGCTAGCCAAGATATTTTAAAAACATAAATCAAATTACGACATTTCAATGCTTAAAACTCTGAAACATCTCCTAAGTCACTCATTATAACAGACAAAATCCTTTTACTGATATGTCAAAATATTTATGCTGTTCAGTGCAATAGCCACTAGCCATATGTTGCTACTGAGCAATTGAAGTGTAGCTGGCATAAATTTAGGTGTGATAGAAGTACAAAATACACTCTGGATTTTGGAGATTATATGATGAAATGATAATATTTGAGATAAATTGAGTTAAATAAAATGTATTATTAAAGTTAATATCAGTTATTTCTTTTCATCTTCTTATTGTGGCAAAACAAACATGTTAAATTACATTTTCATGGCTCTTATAAATCTATTAGACGGAACTGCAGTATATGATCTAGTCATCAGTTCTCTTTCACATTAAAATTATAGTTCTACCTTAAAGTGTGCATTATGCGCTTAAAAAACTGAGTTTCTCTTCATCTTGTTACTTTCTTGGCAAACTCCCCCACTAAATTCAAGTTTTTGCTTAAATAACACCTTCTCAGTTGAGGCCAACCCTGATAAACCTGTTAAACACTGTAGCCCCTACACCTTTACCTGCTTCAATTCTCATATTTTCCCCAGTACTTCTTACCTTCTATCATACTTTATCATTCATATATTTATCAGATTTAGTATTTGTAACCTGTCTCTCTTTATCCCAGAATATAGCCCTATAAGGTCAAGCACTTTAAATTGTTAACTTGTGTGTCTCATGTGGCCAGGAGAGTGGCAGTAAGAAAGCAGCAAGTATTTCATTAATCACTCTGGTTGTTCTCTGGCCACACCCTTCACCACTGCACAAAGTCTGTGGAATGAAGAAAAAGGTCCATTTAGATTCTGCACTCTCCCCCTCCTTACTCTATGATACCAGAATTCCCTTTGCAAATAACCCCAAATCTTTACACAGAAACTGTAATGTCATCTTTCTCAGTTCCATCCCTCAGACAGGAGACTGTGCCACCAATGTGCATATATTTAGGAAGGAATGGGTGGTCCAGGTATTGATGTGTGATGGGAAACTGTACATATCCTGGATATGTAGGTTAAAGTGTCCAAAAACTTTCATGTAAGACCTCTCATAATACAGGATAGAACTTGGTGAAGGAGAGGCTGTAGACTGAAGCCACCTCTCTCCATCCTAACATACTCCTGAGGACAACAAAAGTTCTAACATTGTACTGAACATCCAGTTGTTATAAAGAGATATTTGTCAAACTGGGATACTATAACAGTTTATTTAGTAATCTCTATTTTGTTTATAATAAATAATAAAATATGTGGGCCTCTACTTAGACTCTTTCCCCAGTCTCATAATTCTTAGGAATGATCATGCTACAAATAATCAATAGAAGAGTGGAATCCTAATGGAACAAAGGCAGAGAAGAATAGACAAGGGATATATGGAATTACTCATACCTGGCATCAAATGGGGAATTCTAGGCCACTATAGGTATTTCTAAGACAGTGAGTGTCTTGGGGTGAAGAGATAAATGCCTAGGTTAATAGAGATGAGCTTAGCAGTGATATGCATTGTTTGTACACAGCAATTTGTTTAAAACTGCAGTTCCTGGAAAAGTCTAGCTCTAGGGATCTGTGATTCCTCCTTCAAACACTGTTGTACTGGTTGAACTGTTACCTCTTTTAGTGCCCTTTTCTAGCTCTTTGAGCTCTTAAAGAGAGATTATAAATACAATCTGACATCATATGGTCTACAAAATAAAATTCATTCATTATTTTAAAATTTTCTTTTAACTTGTATACAATAATTATTTAGTGATCTAGGTCACAATGATAAATGTGGTGATTGAGGATGTATTATGAATCTTTTGCCTACAACATATCATAAGATCCATCATTCCAAAACAGTTTATCATTAGCTTCCATCACACTCAGGAAGTGACTCTTCTTATAAAGAACTATAAAAACCCATTGGTTTATGCTGAGATGGAGAAATACATTTATAATGTCAACAGAGAAAACACAGATAAAGCATACTCAGGTAAAAGAAGAGATTTATTTGTAAAAGAGTAACATTATTAGTAAGTTTTTTAGTGTTTATTAGAGGAAGAAAGCTTTCTAGCTATTAACTGATAAAGATGTGTCATTGGCATGGCATTTGGATCTCATATTAGCACAAGCTGAAAATAACCTGCAAATAGTAAGGGCTCTAGAATGTGTGAGGGATATGAACCAAGAACAGTGCTAAACACATAAAGAAGGACCAACTAATGTAGAAGAGGATGCTCCAAGTGCTTTTATCTACTAGAAAAAGTAAAATATAACTAAGAACATCTTTGCATTTGCATATTACTAAATATATTTATGTTTGAATTAATTTTGTTGTAATATTTACATACACCTCATTCCAGGGTACACATTACTGTATTTTTAGAGACATATGTGTTAGTTTCATGGAAGGTCAAATTAAAACAAATAACTACACCTTTGTAAAGAGTCTAGGACTGGAGGGATTTGCTGTTATAACTGAGATTCTAGTGTCCAAAATAAGTCTCTATCATTATTCATTCTGTTTATTACCCTCTGATCTTGCAAAATAGTATGCATAAATTAAGTGGTAGCCTAAAAAAGATCCTTTTGTTATGTGAACTCTGGACATTATTCCATGTTACTGCTGACAATGCATATGTCCAAGCCATTTTGAACAATGCCAGCCATAAGTTGGTCCATAGTAAATTTTTTTATGATAATGATAGTGAAGAATCCTATTCATCTTATTTCCCTTTCTCTGACTCTGGTAAATAATGTAAATAATAGGAAAAAATATCATAGCAAATCTCTCAATCCAAGAGGTGTTCCTGTAATCTTTGATATGTAGAGGAGCTTATGTAACTGAAGCATTTTAAGAAGAGTTATAGGAGATAAATACAAAATTCTTATAGCTAAAAGAAACACATCATGCCTTATTTTGGTCTCTGTTTTCTGGTATTCAAAATCACATTCTCTCAGGTATTCTGGTAGCCTTTCTGTGAATAAATATCTTGAAACATCTCAAAAGGAAACTCCAATGAAGATCATGAGCTATGTGTACTGATTATAAATAAAAACAATTACAGTAAACAAATTAGTAATGGTAGGAGTGTTTAATGAGGGAAATGAGTAAATAATGTGGTTTGAGCCAATATTGGCAGATCTGGGTAAAAAGTGAGGAGATATCTAGAAGTGTAAATTACATGTTATAATGTCTGATAAGGCTACACAACCACGTGAGTTATCCATTCTTCCTCTCCTTTCAGCCATCAGAAAGAATCTGAGTAGCACAACATTTTCACTGTTTCAGAAAACTTTAAGAAAATAAAAACAACTTTTAAATATATGGACTTAACTATGGAAAAGCATAATGGTAGGAAATGTTGGCTTGTCTGCCAGGCAAAGTGGGACTCCAAACCTAGCCTTTGTGTGTACCAGCTTTGTGGCTTTGATCAGGTTGCCTAACCTCACTGAGCCTCAATTTCTTCATCTTTAAAAAAGAGATGCCAAAGTTTCTATTATAAAACAGTAACAGAGGTTGGAAGATATAAGAAATCTGTCTGACAAATAATAATATATATTTAACAGATGTTAAATATTACAAATATTATCTCTGATAATAGCCAGGCAGATGAACTTG